AAAACTACGAAACAGAATTGATTAACCATTGTTGTAAATGTGACCACATAAAAAAGTGTAGTGCCCCGCTGAAAATGTCACATATTTTCTCCTAACTCAGCTGTTTTATTGCCTTGTTTTTTTAATAAGACCTGTTTGCATGTTTTGCTTTAACAATGGATTTAACATGAAATACCATGAAATGGGTACAACTGCAATAGCAAGGCTTTAAGGAGGCCCTATTACGCTCATTTTCAGGTTCATATTTCCTCTTTTCACCCTCTGTCTGAAACCAGAGCCCAGTCTGCTCTGATTGGTTAGCTGGTCAACCTAAAAGATGTCCTGCCCTTTAGCCTATCACATTTAATGTGTTAGAGCGCTAGCCAAAAGAACCCTTGCATAGTGACGTCACTATGTTAAGGAACGAAACAAAGGAGTCCAAATGAGGCATTGCAGGCTGGGGGGGGTCTCCTACCTCAAAAACACTTAATGATGTGAGGTTGGTCTATACGTGGCCTGATGTCTGAAATACATTTGGACACTAAGACTAGACCAAAAGGGAACAACTGTTTTAGTAGTTCTCAGACCCTTTGTCAGATACTGTACAGCGCAATAGTCTGGTGTATAGTCATTCTCTTTTCAAGATGCCAAACCATAGAAAACCAAATTGCATTCCATTTGTTCACATGCTTGCGGTTGACACACACAAGTGACGAACACCACCATCTATTTAGTGCCTCGGTCCGCATTTCCATCTGAATGATACGGAGCTATTCTTAGATTTGTGGGAGGATAGATGGGCATCATTGAGATTTTCATTTTCAAAAGCTCCTCTGCTCATCGCTGCGAGCCTTTTTCAATCGGCCGTTTGTTGGTGCGAGGTGAAATGCACAAGCTAATGCTAATTATGTGCACAAAGCCTACTGTAAATGGTGGCTTTGGAGTTCTGGAGGAAAGGATTGTGACAATGGGAACGGATTCCTGACAGTTTGCATGGCTTCTCTGTGATTAGGAACATATTAATATTCAGAGTATCATTTTTGCAAAGAGAGAACATTTAAATCAGTGATCTGGATTAAAAGCTTTTAAGGTAGAGTGTGATTCTCTAGTTAATTTAAAGAGGCCCTATTGTGCTTTTTTGGTTTATCCCTTTCCTGTAGTGTGTTATATATTTTTTTTTGTGCAAGTAAATGGTCTGCAAAGGCTAAAATCCCTGAAACGCCTCCATTGGACTCATTGTGACATCACTACGTAACGCTTCTGGCTAGCACTCCAACACAGGCCCAATCCCAAACCACGCCCGACACCCTACCCCTCCGTTCGCGCGGAGGGTCCGCCACATTAAGTGCTGTTCCAAACCAACGAGTGTGGAGCGGTGTGGAGGGGGAGTGGGTTATCAAGCCATCAAACAGCGAGTCTGCATCGGTGCTGACTGGAGACCGGTGTCTACCTGACCGGTCTCAACGCTGTGTGTCTGTCAGGAAACACGCTGTTTACAAACAGTTCCAGCAAACATCCACTGATAAATTGCAATGTTAACAACCTCATGATAACCTCATATTTTTTTAACTTAGGATCATACCTGTGTTTAGTCTAGAAAAAGGTAAATGTGTGCATTTTATTATAAAGTTGTGTATATTTACAGACTGTTGAAAAAACTAAGAAGCTTATAAAAATCAGGTTTAAAACTAAAAGAGCTTTACAAACACAATTAAAGATGTTTGGAGTTTTATTTTAGTTATTAATTTTAATTTTTTGTCTAACGGAACGTCTACACAGCAGCGTTAAAAAAATCTTGAAACGCTTCTGCCCATTCACTTTGAATGGGGTGACGTCACTTTCCCTCACTTTTCGCCGAAATGCATTGTGGGCAGGCGAGCGGAGATTTTCAGGATTTTGAGGATTCAAAGTTGAACAATGTTCAACTTTTGAGGCTGAGGTGGAAGCGTCAGCCAATCAAATCCCGTGTACGCAAATCTGACAGTTCAAGCTCTAGCCAATCAAACGGCGTGTATGCTGGGAGAGACATACCGCAGGTCATTTCCTCATATTAGCGGTAGCGAATCAATCACCCGGTGCTTTATGACCAGACCTACCGGATATAAACCGGAGGAGCCAGGCATGGAGGGAGGTGGCAGAGACAGTGGTAGGTTTTCGCCTGTTTTGGGGAGTTTATATCCAGTTTACTTCGGGCTTTTTTGCTTCGTATGTCGCGGGCGGGAGATTCATGTGATTGGTTGCTCGCAAAAAATCCTCAAGCTTCAGATACGCCCACCTCCAAGATTTTTTTACCGCTGCTGTGTAGACGTACCGTTAGAGATGCTGATTTGAAACCGTTGTTACATACAGTTATGGCATTTCCTGTTTCTGCCGGAGAGAGGGGAGATTGTCCCAAAGCTTGCCGCTGTATTTACTCCCTCCATCTGACAGGAGGGGGAGTGTGTAGGCAGGGGCGCCGTAAGGGGGTGAAAAGTTAGGACGATTCTAAGGGCCCGTGACTGACAGGGGTCCAAACTATTTTAGAACATTAAGAAAAAAATGTTAAAGTAACCAATGTGATATCTTTTCATGGGGCCCAAAATCCCTGGCGGCGCCCCTGTGTGTAGGGGTAGGGTGTAGGGCGTGGTTTGGGATTGGGGCGGGACATCAGAGCAGACTGGGCTCTGGTTTCAGACAGAGGGTGAAAGGAGGTGCTGCAGCACAGGCAGTATGAGAACAATAACATGTCACAGTAGAGGTATAAAATACAAATGTTTAACCTGAAAAAGAGCATAAAAGGGCCCCTTTAAACGTGGTTAATACTCAGATGATGAGAAAGCAGCTGCTTCTCAGAGAAAAAGAAAATATTTCTAAGTTATTCTTAAAAAACAGCTCGAAGGTGGGTCAAAACTAAAGAAATCCAGTCACTGTTGACTTTTTCCTGACCCCTGTTAAGACATCCTTTTTTTCTAAATATTTGTGGTTTTGGTAATGACAGGTGGAGCACATGACGCTCCACCTCCCTCTTTACAACTCCCACAACCTTTCTTTGGAACATTGTGCAATTCTCTGAACTTCTCACATAAATCAGCAGCTAAAAAGTTTCCAGCAGAACGCCTGTCCTCCTCCCTGCAGCGATGCAATTAGTTTTGACGTACAACTTAAATAAATATCTACTGGTTCCTGCTTGTTATTCTTTGAAAAAGCTCTTGTTTATTTTATTTTTAGAATATTGGTAATATGTTTTCATTTGACAACTGTTCCTATTAGAAATAATACCTTTTATATGCCACACCCCCTCTTTTGAGAAGACATCAGATGGGAATTGATATGATCCTACAGCTTAATGTTAAAGGATCTTTATCTGAAGCTCTCTGTTTTACATTGAAATAAATTAAGGTTTGCACAATTATTGTTATCTTCATATCAATATGGATAAAAAAAGGCCTCCAAATCTTGACTGACACAACCACATGTAAGGTTGCTGTGTTTTTTGTGTGTGATATTTTTTACTCATTATCGGATGTGCGCGTGCACTGAATCTTGGGGTGGAGTTAGGATAGGGGTTTTAACCTGGTTGCATCCACCTGCTCACTTTGATTTTGTATGGAAGAGATGGGGAGGTGAGTGAGAGAAATGTTTCTGTTGACCGCATTTATACTTAAATGTCTATCTCAATTTCCTGACATTTTTAACTGCAATCGACATAAGATAAGATGGTACTTTATTGATCCCAATTTGGGAAATTGTTGGAAACATCACAATCTCCATCCCATTGCAATAATACCACTGCAATAATACCACTGATTGGATTATATGTTTTTGCCATTATTCTTTTTTTCAAAGTATTTTTCTTTCCATATTTAGCCCCTCGTGGCTTTTTTGGCTGCCTATAGCCGCAATAGCATAAAACAATGTTAAACAATGTCTTTCTTATTAATTAAATCAACTGCTGCTTGGTTATACACATGAGTTGCTACTTTGGTTTAGTTTGACTTCCAGTTATGCTCATTTTCGCTGTTCTCATTGAACATTTATTCACACATTAGTGACTATTGATACAACTGATTATCTGTTTCCATTTTTTAAAAACAACTACTAAGCATGGAGATGTGGAAAACCTTCTCTTTCGCTTTCATTCTTGACTGACTTTGCTCTGGGATGATGGAATGGGGGGGGGGGGGGGGGGGGGGGGGGGGTCGTGGCCTCGGTCAGTGACTCACTGTTGTGTTTTACCTTTACATACATTATTAACATCTTCTCATCAGAGCCTTTCTGATCAACCTAAGAACAACCCCCTGGGGCTGCATCTCAACATATACTCTGTGTGATCTTTGACATTTGACATAATGTTCATGATGTGGGCTATTTCCATGCATCATACATGCTTAACCCGGTAAGCGGCGTTCATCCACTCCAGCAATGCTTTTTAAATAACACAACAGCATTTCTAAATGCCCTCCGAGTGTCCTCCCATAACGAAGAATGAAATAAAAATAGAAAGCGGCGGAAGGAACCCTCCTCTCTGTATCTTTAAATGAGCATTAAAAGCCAATAAGCGGTTCCTTAAGACCTTTAACCTGTCCTCGGGGTATTCCCTCTGTTTTTGCCCCAGATCAGGGGGGAAAAAGGCGAGAGTGACTGTTTCGGTTGGTTAGTCATTAGGGAGCTGCAGCAGCAGATTTCCTGATTAAACAAGCATGCACTAATCACTAATGGAGCTGTGCTGCAGGATGGAATCAGGAGGATGTCAAAAGAATAACCGAACAAGTGAAGGAGAATGAGGAGGATGCCACGGGCATGAGTCACCCCTTTATTTCCTAATTCCACAACTTCAGGAGACGGCAGCCAACTAATGCACTCAGTGTTGGTTTTGCTCTGTTTACATACATTTTCATTAAGTCAGGTAATCACACAAAGTCTCAAACTGTGCTAAATATTGTTGTGGTGGCACAGAGAACATCCTACTTACTGTATGTGCTGTGTAATCTAAGTGTGTGTATTTACGGGCTAAATGTTTTTCTTTTTTTTTATTCACTCAGTGCTCTGGGAGGATCCTCAGCACTCCATATCCCAGCATTCCCCAGTGGAGGATGCCTAATTGACTACGTCCCTCAAGTGTGCCAGTTACTCAACAACAAGGTCAAACTTTACTTTTACTGCATTATTTGTCACCAGGGATTCACAATGATATGGACTGTGATCGGTATTGGCAAAAAAGGTTTTAAAATATACTGTCAAGAAAGAAATATTTCCTCTCATATGACAGGCCTAGTAGTAGCATTACATACAGTAGCATGTGTATGTAATGTGTTTTGCTTGAAGTAAGTAGTAGTTTTCTTGATTTTTGTTTTCACGTGAATTTGCACATCTTAAAAATATTCTTACCTTATGCCTGAGTCTGCCAGTTATCCACCATGATAACATTCGGCACAAACATATGTTGATTTCACTATAGAGCGGCAAAAATGAGTCGTCAATAAAAATACAAAATAGTTGCCAATATTTGTTATAATCGATTTATCATTTAAAGGGGACCTATCATGCAAAATGCACTTTGTGATGTCTTTTATACATACATATGTGTCCCCGGTGCGTCGGGGAACTCACGCAGCGTCAGAAAATAAAACCCTCTCTCTTTTCCTCCGTATCCAAATCTTCCAAAACGAGTGGATACAGATTTGCTGCCGATATGACGTCAAATCGGGGGCGGACCCACAGAAAGTTGCTATCAGAAACAATGCCTGACGTGTTTTGGACGTAATCTCGTCTTTGTTTACATTAGCTAGCCTCGCTAACACTCAGAGCTAACCTGTACTGTAGAGCACATGTGTTTAAAATGCAGGAAATAAAAAAAATAACTCACCTTGTGATAAACCTGCAAGAGAAAAAGCATTTGAGCTCCATACTGTTTCAGAAATAATCCTTGACGTGGTTTAAACAGGATGGCGTTTTATCACAGCAGAATTTAACTTTATCTCCGGTAGAATTCTGATCAGGCATTAGCTCCGCCTCCTCTTCTTTCTTTTTTTTCAAGCTAAGGACCCAAAATCAGCATTTCTCGAACAGGGCTTCAAAGAGGGGTTTGAGCAGTATGAGGCATGGCTACAATGGGTGATCTGTTTGGTATTTTGAAAAAATAACTACACAGACATGTTTTGTATAGGTATGGCCCTACAATATATGTTTCAAATATAGCATAATAGGTCCACTTGAAGTACTTTTCAATGTTAAAGTATTTATTTCAGCCTCTTGAATATGGACATTTCCTGCTTTTCTCTGAATATCTTTGGGATGGCACTGTGAAAGCGAGACATTTAAAGACATGAACTTGAACATTGAAAAACTGGGATAGACATTTTTCAAAAATGTTAGCTGATATTTTTAAATCAATACAATAATTACATTACTCATTAGTACTTATTAGTTGCAGCCCTATTCCATTACAGGAGATAAAGTCAAAAAATATCAACATATATGATAAAAATCCAGTATGGTGCATCCCTTACCCTTAATATCTATTTTAGTAAAGCGCAAGATCTCTCTCTCTCTTTGTTTCTGTGTGCATTTATTGCATATTTGTAAGTTTGGTACAGCGAAGCCCGTGTCCACTGAGGTATGTCTCAAGCTGTATGCGTGTGTGTTAATGTGTGTATGGGCACTCATGCACACGTGTCTGGCATCTGCCGGCGTGGGCGTGCTGGCCGTCCTCCACCGGTCGTCTGAGTGCTGCTTGGCCTCCGCAGGTTGACAGGTAGATATGCAGTGTGGACGCCATGTAATGCCATTTCCCTCAGGAGAAATGCCCATCCCCCGCTACACACACATATACCCTCCATCTATTTATGTTTACCTGGCCTGAGACCAGCATACTCAGGGTGTCCCTGCCTGACCTCCATCTCTCTGGGAGTTTCAGTTCAGCAGTGTCTGGACCGCTCCCTCCACATACCATCCATGAGAGGAACAGTTGAAAGCATGTTAAAGCTGTGTCAGTTACACTTTTTTTATAATTACGCAATAAAACATACAGTCCGTTACAACTGTGTAATTACAGGGACACTCCTCTATTAAATAACCTAGCATCTGCATCAATTACTCATGAACATTAGCTCCATGCTGATTGGCCCTGAGGGGTTTACAGGCATTGCCTACGTGGTCAACGCACAGAAGGCCAAGAATTAGATGCTTTCAATCAATTTAAATGAAATCATCCTTAATGGTTAGTGCTTTTTTGAAATGATAGTATTAGTCTGGTAGTTATTGGCCTATGAGAGAGAAGCAGAGAGGAATTAATAATGAAAGCAGTCAAATCAAATGTATAATTATTTTATACTGTGGGTTCTGGGTCTATACATTTGTCTTATAGTGAATTAACAAGGGCTCACTTCACACCTGAACCCAGATACATTATTGAGATAATAATCAATCACGTCTAATATTTCAATGTTTAGCTGGTATTTTCTCAATGCTGGCATCCTTCTCACTAAGTAGACAGACACCTTACCAATAAAGAGACTGCAAGTGGAAAAAGATTTTCAGTTCAATTTAAAAGTCTCAATGGTGTTTTACATTCTGATCTTGTCTGTTAAATGAAGGATTTTAGCTTTCTAGGTGCTCTTGCCAACAGATAAGTCAACAAGGTCTGGTAGAACATGTTTTACTTGGAATTAGTGATAAAAATGCTTCTAACATAAAGGCTAAGAGTCTAAATCCCTTACACGTTATAACACTTCTCTTTAAAATCCAAACATGTATTCCCTTGCAAATCAGTAATAACAGATAAACAATACATTTTAACTTTCTAAAAAGGAAAAGGGTACTTTTCACCTCTTTTAGTACTGCCCCCAGTAATTGCGCTATATGGCAAATCGCATGAAGTAATAGAAGGATTCATCTCTACAGTCAAATCAATAAAACAAAATGTGTATCCATTATGATATTCCTATTGTATTCATATTTTGATGTGGATCTTATCAGACAACCAAAAGACATAACATTTTTAAAATGTAGTCAGACATCAGATCGGTCCCTCTTTATAATGTGAAAGCAGGGGGTGGTGTGAGTGCGTATGTGACAGAAACAGAGAAGAGATTTCCTAATCGCACAGCAGGAAGCACTTCCGGCGCTATTGCATCACCCTCCCCACAGACACATGCACTCACACAACAAATGGTTGAGCGGGGCGAGTCATGGGTGCAGCCGGTTTGAATACCTGTGGAGCGACATCACCTGTCTTGCGTCACTCGAAGCTCCAGGCAGCCAATAAAAACACTTCGCTTCAACTCCCAGTGCCAGCGGGGGAGGGGAAAAGTATGGGTGTGAGAGTTCAGTGATCTGCAGTTCCCTTGAAACAGACCCCCCCCCCCCCCCCCCCCCCCCCTACACACACAGTGTTACTAGATAAACAGATTATTGAGTATGTGGCCTTGCAGCCTGTGAGAAAGCTCAATTGCCGCCTCCACTGTCCCATGTAAACATAATTGAACACGATGCTGAGTCACAATGTGCACCCTTGTTTAAGAGCTCTTGCAGATATGAGACCCGTCACACACACACACAACTGAGCGTATCACAGATTACCACTTTCCTCTTTCAAAAAAAATTCCGTCATTCATACATGGTTGATGAGTAATCACAACCATGCAGCAGGAAGGCAGTGCTGTCTCTAGCTGTATTCATGATCTGTCCTGTCCCTGAATGAACCACACAGTTTTACTACATGCTAAGAGCGGGCTCAAATAATCAATATCAGCAATACAGACTTTTCTAATGCATTATAGATGCGCTGGCACTCCCATTACATTATTCTTGCATTGACGGAGCAGAGGCTCAGTTTATCTGTACCTGCAGATATCTGAACTGTGAAACTGCACTTCTTTACAAATGTGCATCCTTTATAAATCATTTCCTTATCTATTCCTGGTTAAAGGAGGCTATTTCCTCTTCTATTGCTGGTAAAAGGAAGTGGAAGGCACTAAAACCCTTCCTTCCTGACATTAGATGACGTATTGTTGAAACAAGTGTGTGCCGAATAACGTTACACTCCACGTTGCACTTCAAGCAAAACACAACATACACATGCTGTAACATATCTGCATTCCCTACCGATGCTGGTGTATTCTCAAGCAACACATAATTTGGCTGTAAAAGCTTACACAAACATTTACAAAGAGCAAGGTTTACCCAGCATGCCGTTCAAGTTGTATCCTTCCAATACTGTACACACTAACTTGGATTCCCAGCAAAACACCTGGCAAGTGTGAAGTAAATCAGATGAACAGTTCGAAGAAAAAACATACATTATGATCCAGAATAGTTTTTAACAAACTATTGTAGTGAAACGACAGGGATTTGAGCGATTTATATAATTTATTAATGTACAAAACATACATTTAATATACTCTCTTTAAAGCCACTAGATTCCATTGACAGAAACAGTCATTTTAGCTTGCTGCTGATCATATATAAATATTAATCAAACTTGACAGAAAATAAAACCCATCCAACTTGAAAACAGAAAAAGAATAGTCTATTGCTATTTTTGGTGGAAATGTATGTCTAATTTGAACACTGAGGGAATTCTGCTGTAGGGTTCTTTCATTGTTCGGGTGTTTCAGCTTTGCCTGCATTACCCATGTTTATAGCCATGGTGCTAAGTCTTGCTAGGTGAATGGAAGAGGTCACCTTCATGGCTGGCTGGCTGACTGCAGGCCTTCTCACCTGCCCAGGATGCTCAACAGTCAACCAAAGCCCTTAGCTTCTCCTCTTTGGACTTAAAGATAATACTTAATCACACCTGTCAAAACACAGTTATGATCTGACAAGAGGAGAACCTTCTTCTTGGATTGATGGTCCATGAACTTGCTCATTGGTGGTTGTTGTACATGCTGATGTGCCTTTGAAAATGCTTTTGAGCCAGCTGGTGCCATGTTTATTTTAGTATGTTCATAATACCATGGCTGATAAGTATCAGTTGCTTTGGGCAGTTATACTTGTGTACTACAAAGACAATCAACCTTAATAAAAGCCTAACAGCGTGTTTGCCCTTTTCTAATGAGATGCACACAGTTTCAAAAAATACACATAGTTCTGAAAGGTTGCCTGTCTTTTGTTGTCTACTCAATGTAGACGTTGACTGAAATGGAGAAAGGCATAAAAATGGAACACAGTACCTTGAGCAGACAGTCTTTTCTTGTTGCATTTGACAGACTCTATGGTGGAGCTGTTAACACCAGCTTATTTGGCTGTCAAGTGGTAAGCTAAAGACTTTGTACTTTGTACTGTGACATTTAAATGTGCCTGTACAAAAATTGCATGTAATTCTACTTTTGTGCTCTGAACCGTTTGGTTTTAAAGTGAAAGCAAGCATTAAAAAGTTCACCTCTCTTAATCTCTGTACAGGCCGAGCCATTGTTTACATTCTGGGTAGGTTCTCTCAGAAAGCCTCTCAGCGAGTATGTACATTTGCTCTCAGGCTGTACACACACTAAGAGTTAGCTCTGGCTCTAAATGGCCTAATTCAGGGCAAGACCGACCCTGAAACCATGTGTAAAAGGCTGAAGGGGGAAAAAAGGGGGTTGCATTTGATGAGATTGAAAACAATGTTCTTATTTGGTTTGCATAAATGCTGTTGCTGCAGGGGAATTCTTCCAGGCGAAGACCCATAATCATGTAATAAAAACAGTCACCTCCCATTCTGCTGATGTCTTTCATCACTTTCTACCAATGAAACAATATCAAATTGTGTTCAAATCTTTACAAATTGATGGACCAAATGCTGACAAATGTATATAAACAGAATGGTATTAATCTCTGTGGAATCCCCATGGATACATAGTGAAACAAAGCATAGACCTTTGGCACATATTCATTTACAGTGCAATCTTAGTTCTGGGTGTGTCGCGGGGTAGATTTGAATGCACAATAGTATCTTAATTATTTGGCTTTTGGCCCAACTGGAGCAACTTCTTTGGAAGACATAACCATAAAACAAATATCTGCTAACGTTTTACAGCGACTTCTCCGAGGTTCAACAGATATGTGTCTCTTGGTTTGACCTGAATATCAAGATAATAATGTAAAAAAAACTTGAACTATATATTTATTTTTGGCTTTGTAATTTTGTAATTGTGTCTTTAGATCAAGATCAATACGGTCTTTTTTATTCTGGTTTCATTTTGTATCCTGTATTGGCGATGTAGTCCCTTTTATTATTGTATTAGCATTGTGGCTATCTGCAATAAATTGTCATAAAATTACTTCCAGTTTTACGCAACATTTGTACGATCTTTGTTATTTTTAACTATTTATTTTAACCAGATGAAGGATTTCACTCAACAGCATTTGGTTCTTGAGTTTCAGATAAACAAACTGTTCAAGTGTTCGCGTCAGCCAGACTGCATCGGAGAAATACTGATGTCAAACATTAAGAGTTTTAACCGGCTTTGAGAACCTTGTCTGTTTGTTTTGGAGAGAATGATAACTCCGGATAATTTGGCTTCCAGTAGAAACCTCTGGAACAATGAACAATAAAGGAAGAAGCTAAAAAGCAATGGACGCCACCAAACTGAGTCTTTGGTTATCGTTGGATTGAGACACCGTTAGTGGCAGAATTCCACATGTTGTGCGTTTCAATGTAGATTTGAGTGAACAGGTTGCAATTCCAATTTAAAAACAAAGATACCTTTCCCGTTGTTCTCTCTAGGTGCAGTATATCATCCAGGGCTATCACAAGCGGAGAGAGTACATCGCTGCCTTCCTCAGCCACTTTGGAATGTGAGTCAGCTGCAGAGGACCACATCCTCCACTGAAGTGACCACAGCATGTGTTCAGCAGCCATTCATTTACTCACTGACCCTGTCTTTTACAAGGAAATATTGTTGGTATAAAATGAGACACAGTGAGAAATTAATATGTGTGTATTACAGGGGCGTCGTCGAGTATGATGCAGTGGGATTCACAAAACTCACCCTTCTACTAATGTGGAAGGACTTTTGCTTCCTAGTACATGGTAGGAAACACATTCATACTGGAGTCTGTTTCTGATCTCCTGTGGCTCAAATTGGATTCAGCGACCTTACTGACTCTTACTACTTCTCTCTCTGTCCCTCTGCTCCTCGTAGTGGATCTCCCACTGTACTTCCCCAGGGACCAGCCCACCCTCACCTTCCAGTCTGTGTACCACTTCACCAACAGCGGACAGCTCTATTCTCAGGTGCAGAAGTCATATCCCTACAGCCCTCGCTGGGATGGCAATGAAATGGCAAAGAGGGCCAAGTGAGTATATTTTGTCTCATTATATCCTACGCATTTTCGAAATTCTACTTGATTTTTTAAAGATTTTTAAAGCTAAAACAATGTTGCACAGAGAGGTCATACGAGACAGTTATTTTAAATAGCATGTATGATGTGCATTAGATTTATGGTACAATATGTCTTCATTGCCTACACCCAGCCCCTTTTGTTTTGTTTGTGGATTTTATTCCACCTACGATAAACATAACCTGGTATGATCCCATAGGAGTAAATCTATAGGCGTCGGCTGCTGCCTGAGAAGTGTTTGCTTTTGCACGGCAAAGGTTAATAACAGCTGTACATATTTGAAAGATATGAGTGGATAGAGAAGGTGCAGAAAGCAATACATAATCAGTTTTCTTCATCTGTGTACTTCTTTTTTTACTCATTTGTTTATCTTAGTACATTTCTATGTCTCCACCAACAAATCGACAAACCTCTCTGGATTACCATCTGTTACAGCCTGAGTTTGACTACAACAGGCTCAGCTAATAATGTTTCAAGGAAAACAGTATTTTTTTACCGGAGTCTTATTCTCAGATATTTCCAAAAATCGGAGACACAAACATAGTCAGAACAAATACATTAGGTGTCATTATTAGCTGTTATTGCTAACTGTTTAGAAAACGACTTACATGGAAATTAGCTGGCTAACAAAGCCAGCTGTTTTTTTAGCCAGCTAGAAATCTATCTATTTATCTGTTCATTCCCCATAAAACTAGAAATAAGTAGTAGACAGATTTTGACACATTTGGACAGTCAGGCTAGCTTAGCCCTCCATCATCAAGTCGAGATGCTAAGCTACTTCCAGGGCATCAGACGGCTAGCAAAAGCTACCTCTTTTGTTAGCCTCATTAAACCTCTATAAGTAGTAGGCACAATTGTAAACCTTTGAACAGAGTCAAACTATCTAAGTCCTCCTACTTCCAGTCTTGATGCTAAGCTAAGCTAACCAACATATTGAACCCAGAGATCTTTGAGTGATCTAACTCTTGGCAAGAGCATTTTCCAAAAATATTGAACAATTTCCTTGAAGTCTAACCTGACACGATCACACACACACACACACACACCTGAACGCACCACCTGTGGCTAAATACCTCATAGTCTGCTGGTTTGAGGTTTTTTTACTTTGTTTGATTTTTTTTTAACTTGCGGTTGAGTTTTGTCTTATGTGTTTTTCTCTGAGGAGCTTGAACACAGAGCGTACACATCTCTTGCACAGTTGAAATCGTAACAAGTAAACACATTCTGCCTTTCATCTGCACTTTGTTACACGCCACGGCTGGGACTGACCCAACTGCTTTGAAGCACAATTATTGTCACATTTTGATGTTTATTTTATATCTCTCTTTCTGCTCTCCCTCTAAACAGGGCGTACTTCAAGAGCTTCATCCCTCAGTTCCAAGAGGGAGCCTTTGCCAACGGGAAACTCTAGTACTCTCTAGCTTAATGACATGCCTGGAGAGTTGCCTGTGTGAATGTAAGTGTGTGGGTGTGGGTGTGTGTGTGTTTGTTCGAGCACGCCATTGTGTACCTGTGTTTAAGTATGCACAGACTTACATTTGTGAAATGTGCAGCACTGCAACAGTACGGTGAAAATGGCTCTGTGAATTTGACATAGTCTGACCTTGAAATGGTTGCCTCATTTTATTCAGTTGTTGTTTTAGTTTAGTTAAAAGACACTTGTGAAGATTTCCAAAGACAAGTCCAGTCACTGCAACATACTAGAACAAAAAGAAGTACCTGGAAAAAGTGAATTTATGATCCAGTTACAAGAGATTAAGTGAGAATAGCAAAAACAAACATTGCATCACATTTAACAATTTTGTGGGATCAGGCCGTGCTCACAACACTCGCTGCCGTGCTGTGAGAGACTTTTGCTGATATGTAAACAATATGTAAACTGTAACTACATGCAAATCAGAGCTGCAGTGATGACGCAAAATACCTTTGGTTTTCCTGTTTGATGGTCTTAACCATTGTTAGGTACGGCGCCACTGTTGACGTTAGAAAAACCTCAAAATAAGTTTTGCCTTTTAATTGTCTGTCTGTTCTATTTGACTGTATAAAGCCCTGTGAAGATTGACAATACTGTAAACTACTGAAGGTAAAAATCTCATCCAGTAAAGATTTCTGTTTCCCCTGACCATGTGTCATTGTTTTGTACTTGCTCTGTGTGGTCTGGTTTTCTATCATTGAAAAAATCTCACTTCTTTTATACCCTGGAAACATCTTTGCCATTTGACACTTGTTTTGATCTAATCTCAAACTATTGCTGATTTGAACGGTACAAAAACGGTACTGTTTCCATAAGCAGCAACGCCTCGTTTCGTAATGATCTTTATCTTGCTAGCACTTTCATTTCTTGGGAGGAGTGAAATAGGACCGGTGAAGCACCGTTTTATCGGACACATTGGTAATGGCCAATATTTGATTTGGTGACTGCCATCAGCCTCTTCATTGAAAATGGCATTCACCAATGGCAGTTGCCAATGTTTCCTTTATGTGTCTCGTAAATGTTGCGCTGGCTAAATGTTTATTTAGTTATTTGCAATCAGACTAATGAGTTAGCTGGCAAACCCAGCTTCTGATTTGGAGAAGATGCTGCTGCCGGGACACGACTCTGGCATGACGTGAGTGTGAAGCTATACTGTAGCTGCCATGAGCAAACGTGCTTTGTTGAATGAAATGAAAAAAAGTGTTGGTTGGTTGTATTACACTTCTTGGAGAAAGGTCACCAACATGCTGTTTGTAAGAGATGTTTGTAGGGATCGTCAATGTCTGGAAACCAAAACATTTCAAAATTGCCTTTTTTTCTTAAGATATGGTGAAATAAATCAAAGAAATAGGTGAACATTCTGAGCTAGCTGGGTCTAGGGGAACACCAAATCATAGGACTCCATCCTCGAGGGATATCCAAAAACACAAATATGTTTGAATAAGGCGCTGCTCTGGGAAGTAAATTGCCTTTTTAAGGGAACTTTATTTAGCAGGACACAAAATCTTCATATTTCGGTCCTTTACTTGTTAAATCTAAAATAACTCTCTCCCCGTCAAAATATGTAAAGGATTACACCTTACTATCTGTAATGCATTTATAGACCCTAGAGATGCTGTTCTTTTACAGCCCCCTAATGTGCTTGTGTAATAAGGAGCCACAGCACAGTGTGTGTGGGTGTGTGTGCACATACCCATGCATGCATTTGCTTGAGCGAGGCAGAGTGTGCGCTTGCTTGTTTTCATCATTAAATATGAGGGTCATACTTAGGGGTCCTTCCTGGCCTAAGGCGCAGCCTTTTGCTATATTTACTGTTGGTAATGCAGCAACTGTCAAGTCTAATTGAGAACTATAGGGTGAATGTATCTGGGGCATTTAATAGCATCAAGGCTCCTAATAAAATAATTAAAAAGCAAGATTCTTTTTGTCTTTTTCACTGCCCCGCTCCATGTTTCTTGCTCTAACCTTTCCCGACCTGCTTTCAGAACGTCTCTGCTGTCAGCCGCGGGACGAGCCTCTCTCATTTTGGACTTTTGTGGTTTGAGATGGAGCGAGTTCAGAGGAGGGGTAGCGTCTTTAACGAGCATGAGCAAGAAATAGTTCAACTTGACAGACAACTCCAGACATCACGACTTTCCTCTCAAAACAATTGATTTTCAATGCTGGTAAACTTCAGTTTTGATTTAGCCCTGCGTGTGAACCGTAGCCTGCCAAATCTGATCCCAGAGTTTACATTAGATCAAGTAACAGCGTAAGGAAGAAGTATAGCTTAAATAATACAGTTGAATACAGGCCATGACATTGCAATGAATGAAGTGTACCAATTTAAATTGTCAATCTGGTTAAAAGTCTCTGTTGAAGTTACCCTCAGGTCTTGACGTTGACCCAAGTTGACATAAGCCCTTTAAGTGAGTTGTAAACAATAACCCTTCCAAAGTGGTTTAAACTGTCATTTACTGAGCCTCCTCCCTTTAAAAGTGTCTGCGCCTAAACATGGCTCACCTTTACACGCTTTTAAGCAACTTAACACGGATTTATCCCATGTAATGATCCTGTGAAGGTGCTGATCAAGGTACCTTTTGAAGATGTGTTTCTCAGCCCCCTGATTCACAGTGCAGAGGTCTGCCAACCCTTGCAGCTAATACTCCAAATCCACTAATCCAGCCGCCTTTAAGAGATCTCAACGGCAGTCGGATGGAATAATTACAGGCTGGAATAATTAGCTTGGAATCTGTTGACGGGGGATGATTAAATTGATGAGTTTTTTTTTGGTTCACGCTTTGCTGGACTGGGACTCGATTTCCGAAATGTTTGAAGATGCAATGGTCATTTCTCCCTTGAAGGATGAATGTGCAATTGAGTGGTGTTTTGGCTTTGTCTAAACCTTTTTTGACCCCGCTATAGCTTGAGGTGAGAAGAATTCAATCTCCGCCCTAGCCTTGCAGGTGGCAGGACAGCTAGCCTGATGCAAGCTAACGAAGTGGATGCTAACAGACAAGCCGGTATCTTTAGCTCAAAGGAGTTGGCAAACATGAATATTAGCATTAGATTAACGTTAACTGCTCTGGTGACAACCCTATAAGCAGCTAGCTCGGAGGCAGCGAGGACCTGCCAGCCTGGAGAACTGACAAGTGTGTAAAACAGGATCACTTAAAGCTCAGCACCTTCCAGGCCAATAACCCGGAGTTAGCGCTTGGCATCACTCACCCCGCTTCACCTCAGAAGTTGGGCTAGTCACCGGAAAACTTTTGAAGAGTAGGAAAGTATGCGGAAGAGCGACAAAGTGTAAATGTGAAAGAAGAAGGTAATGGGAAAGGAGTGAAAGTTATTGAAAATCCTGAATCATCACCTTGTGAAGCGCGATGGTAAACCGCCGGGGCAGCGTGAGGTAATCAGAAGGAAACGAGGAGCGACCAAAAGGCCTGAATATGTCAGAGAGCGATCGAGGCGGACAGCAGCCTGATTCCACATTGTTTACTCCTGTCACCGTGTCCCAATCTGTCTGCCTCGCCTGATTCTTGTTTTCTTTTTTCGTACGGCAGCCTTTTTGACTACACATATTCCCGCAGAAAAAGACAAACAGTTATCCGACTGAAAGAGGAAGGAGGGGGTGAAATCACAAACTCCAGTGACTCTGGGGTACTTTGTGTTTTGTCTGTAAGTACAAATTCAGAGTGACATATGAGAAGTTTTGTCCCCCCTACTCATCTCCAGAGTGTTATGGGGGGGGGCTTGAAGAGGAGTGTGTGTGATGGAGGGGGGGGGGGATTTCCGAGGCTATGCAGCATTTGCGATGCAGCGTAGGGTTGTTGATGCGAGCCATGTTGAGGATGATGGAGCTGAGAGGCTTAACTAATTTTGGAAAGAGAGAGCAGGAGGAGGAGAGCGGAGGGGGGATTTGGGGCCTTTTGTTACAGCCTGTTTGATCTGGGAATTACAAAAAAAAAATGGCCCAGAGATGTCGTGAAAATGAGAGAATTACTGCTCCGGTCCCTCACTCTTCTTTTCTGCACCAAACTCGAGTAACACGGGAATTCTAACGCACTCCCAAGTCAAAGCGGAAGATCTTTTTCTCCCCCCCACTTGCTTACAGATAATAACTGGATCTAGTTAAACCCTGATTGTTAATTGCTAATTACTCCTGGTACACGAGAAGCCAGGAGAGCGTAGCTAAGCTGATCAGCGGAGTCTTCGCTCTGCAGCTCGTAGGTTTGCCCGTTTTGTCTCGACTGCGCGTTGTCGAGGCGTTCTGGAAAGGGCTTGTTCTCGATGGCTTTTGACAAGACAGATTTTTGTCGAGGAAGGAGCGGAGGGGGACTCCCTCCTCATTTCCCCCTAAGGTGCGATCATTTAAACCTTTCATGGGTTAACCAAAGCACATCCCGCAGGTGTTTGGGTTTTTCTTGGAACACATCTCTCGGCTCCCCTGCGTTAAGCTAGCAGTTTGGCCTCGGTTCAATGTGCTTGATTGTCGTAAAAGATTAGCCTCAATTTGCTTAAAAATACTCACACTGCTTCTTCACGAGAAACAGGATTCTGGGCTTTAATGGAGGTTGTTAAAGGTAATGTGTAGCAATGAGTAAGAATCACTTTAGTATCAGATGGGTTCATGGAATTCAGGAAATGGAGATCAGTCATGCCGGATGGATTATTTCCGAGACTTTAATTTACTCCTCTTGTTGTGTGGGTGCTCTTTTACTCCTCAGCGGCCTTTGTCTTGCCTCTCGCCCTCAGATTCCTCCCTCTTTTCCTCCCCCCCCCCACCCACCAGCTACCTGAGGAGCTGTCAGTCTGGATTGGGCGCTGTCGGTTCCTGCTGTCAGGCTGAGAGACGCGTTCTGATCAGCCGTGGACACTGATAGACCTGTCAGGTGGGATGACAGCTGCAAGTGAAGACGCGCACAGACAGGTACATGTAATGTGACAAGACTCCTTCATCCCTCCTCCACCAACACCACCGCCCTTCCTGCTTTCCCTCAGCCCCCCCACACCCCCCTTCCGAAAAATAAATATCCATGCATTGGATGTTGACGAGTTGAGGGAAACTTTTCCTTTGAGCCTGAGCGGATGTGATGCAGACATGTGATGAAGGACGTGTTGTTTCTGCACATGGACTGCATGGAATTAAAGATTTTAAAAACTCTCTCTTTATGTTAAGCATCTTCCAATACTATATTAATATCGAGACACCTACTGAAACTATTCTATTTCCTCAGAATTGAGACTTTGCATTGCAGAAGAGTGTATCTGCAGTGTTCCTTTCTACAATTTTGATAAAACAAGTTTTTGTGAGATCTTGCCAAAAGATGCAAAATGCTACAGATCTTCCATGCAGATAATTACATACTGACATGAGCTACAATTTGGTAGCTTGCTTTCATTTGTTTTGGTTGGATACTTAAATATTTGCCAACTTTGCAATGTTAAATTAAAGGTGGGGTAGGTAAGTTTGAGAAACCGGCTCGAGATACACTTTTTGTTATATTCCATAGAATGCTCTTAACATCCCGATAGCAATGAATATCTTAAGTGCTTTGACAAAAAATCCATAAAAAAATGTAATCTGTGGAAGCCGTAGTACTGTAAAAAGCACAACCAATCATTTTATCCGGCCCGGCTAAAATAACTGGATGGCCTACCTGCCTGTC